CACAGCCCCTGCAGCCTCCAGGGCAGCTACTGTCTCTTTGCAAGACTACGGTTCTTTCCCCAGCTTGGTTCCTCGCGCTCTTGCAGGCAGCTGGGCCCCCAGATCTCAGGAGCTGATATCTGCTGCTCTGCAGATTAGGTTGTTGGTGGGGGCGGGCTGGGGAGGATGCCCATGGTGTGACCGCTGGGCCATCCCGTGCTGATCAGATGGCGCCCGCTGCCCGACGCTGAGGCCTGCAGGACAGGGGCCCTGCAGTGGAAACTCCCCAGATGAGCTTGGAGGCTCTCCACTCACCACCCATCTCCTGCCTGTTTATCTGCCTTCTGGGCCTGCCTCCACCAGGATCTGAGTGTTTGTTTTAAAGATTCAGGGTTCAGGACCCAAGAGAGCCAGGGATGGAGCAGGGGGGTAGGCTCGCAGACATCACCATCAAACAGACCAGAGCTCAGGGCTCAGCTCTACCACCTACTAGCCTGTGGCCTTTGGCAAGTCATTTCTCCCGTTTACAAAAAGGAAGAAAGCCTGGGTCATGAGCTGCTATGAGTTATAGAGGAGATGGTGCACTTGAACCCCTCAAGCATAATATCTGCTACACAGCAGGTGTTCCTGCAGGGGTTATAACTCCTCGCCCTCCCCCCTCCCCTTCCCCTCTACCCCCTCTCCCTCCCCCCTCCTCCTCTTAACTGCAAGACCTAGGGAATTCTTTAAAAAAAATTTTTTTTGGGGGGGTGCCTTGGTTAAGTGTCTGACTTCAGCTCAGGTCATAATCTCACGGTTCGTGGGTTCGAGCTCCGCATCGGGCTCTGTGCTGACAGCTCAGAGCCTGGAGCCTGCTTCAGATTCTGTCTCCCTCTCACTCTGACCCTCCCCTGCTCACACTGTGTCTCTGTCTCAGAAATAAATTTAGGGGCGCCTGGGTGGCTCAGTCGGTTGGACATCTGACTTCAGCTCAGGTCATGATCTCACGGTTCGTGGGTTCGAGCTCCGCATCGGGCTCTGTGCTGACAGCTCAGAGCCTAGAGCCTGCTTCAGATTCTGTGTTTCCCTCTCTCTCTCGGCCCCACTCACCCTCTGTTTCTCTCTCTCGAAAGTAAATAAACATTTAAAAAAAAAGAAATAAATTAAAAAAATTTTTTTAATTTGTTTAATGTTTATTTTATTATTTTTGAGAGGGAGAGACAGACAGAGCATGAGCAGGGAAGGGGCAGAGAGTAAGAGGGAGACACAGAATCCAAAACAGGCTCCAGGTTCTGAGCTGTCAGCACAGAGCCCAACGCGGGACTTGATCTCGGGAACAGTGAGACCAGGACCTAAGCTGAAGTCTGACACCCAACCGACTGGGCCACCCAGGTGCCCCAAGATCTAGGGAATTCTTTGAGTCTCAGTTTCCTCTTTTAATAATGGAGATAATGATACCTTCCTCTTGGAGCTGTTGTGAGGATTGCAGTGGGAAAGGGGTGTAAACAGCCGACCACACCCACAGTGCACTTTTACTTCCTCTTCATGAACTCCAAACCCCAGCTGGCTGTGCTGGGCCTTAGGTGTGCAGTACCTGGTATCCAGAACAAAGGGACTGGACCTTGAAACCTAACCTTTCCTTGTACAACCTTGGGCAAATCATTTCAGCAGTCTGGGCCCCACTTTCTTTTCTTTATAAAACAGAGATGGTAATATGTTATAAGGCTGTTGAGAAAACCACATGTTTTCTCATAGTGCCTGCAAAATACATAGCACTCTGCCTGTCACATAGTAGGTACTCAAGAAATAGCAGTGATTTTTATTATTACTGCCAATGCCCAACCCTAGTCTGGTAACGTAGGTTCAAAGGAGGAAGAGAAGTTTTCATGCAACCCTCCACTCAGGTAGGGAACAGAAGGGAAAGCAAGTAAAGAATTTACGTTGAGCTACTACTGGGGGCTGCACAAGCTCACACGGACCATCTTCTGTCTCACAGTACTCTTGCAAGAGTAGAATTATTAACCCCATTTTACAGATGGGGAAACTGAGGTCCAAGAGGGGCAGTTGGCTGCTCAAGGTTGAGAACTTAGAGCTGATTAGGAGTTTGGGTGGCGGCGGGGTAGGTGGGATTTAAAGAGATGCTGGGTTGATTCCAGAGCTTTCCTGCCTGTCTTCGAAGCTGCCTCCAGAGGTGGGGCTGGGTGCGGCTGGGTCCCTGTGTGATTCAGGTAAGAGTCAGCTCCGGATTTCCAAATAGTGGGTGGGACCTAGCAGGGGTGAGAGCTTTCCAGGGGCATTAAAACCTAGGCCCTAGTGTGGGGCTCTGGTAGGGGTGCCAGGAGCCAGAGGCAGGGGTATGCAGAGAGGGAGAAACCCTGCCGCATGCTGCTGGTGGGGTACAGGGTAGAGCGAAGTCCTTGCTGCTGCAGCTGGGAGGGGCTCAGGGCCCCCGGTGGCCTTGTAAGTATTGCAGTTGCTGGCCAATGGGCCCAGCTGGGGAAGACAGGGAAACTGAGGCCAGGCAGTTACTCTTCTGGTGGTGGTCACAGCAGATGGATGGATTGGCGGTCACCTGATGAAGTTGGCCTTGGACCCTCACTCACTTGTAGAAGGTCCATATTTTTGCGTTCATTCACTCACTCCCACTTTGTGCAATGAAACAACATTCACGGGCATCTTCTATACCCCAGATCTCGTGCTGGGTCCCGGGAATACAAGAGTGATCACACCTGCTGACACAACACAGTCCAGTGTGCTGGGAAGCCTGCAGTGAGCAGACAAGGCACAGGAATGTCCTCGAAGGACAGAAAGCAGAGGAGGTATGCCAGGAGACAGTAGAGTTGGGCTTTGCCCAAGGAGTGGAAACTCACTCACTCTCCTGAGGACTAGGAAAACTCCCTAGACGGGAAGGCCACAGGCTTTGGCGTAGAGGCGCAGGGAAAGGTGACACTGTGCGGTGGCCTTTCTCAGGGCTGGCACAGGGTTAGCCTGGACCGCTCCCGTGTATATCCAGCTGTAGGCTGGATCTCGGTGCAGAGATAGACCAAACACAACTAGTCCAAATTCAGATGCCATCTCCCCCAGCCTGCTCCCCTCCCTGATTCCTTACCTGGGTATTCTTGCCAGTGTCAAGCCAGAAACCTAGGTGCCCTCCTCAGCACCTGTCTCTCCTTCGAGCCCCAGGGCCAATCGATCACCACACACTGGCATTTCTGCCACCGTTCTCTCACCTCCCCCTTCCCCCACTTGACCATCTCAGTGCGATCCTGTCCTCAGAGAATGGTCTACCAACTCACCTCTGTCCTCTTCTTCATTGCATCCATCTTGATATCTCTGGCACTGGTCCCAGAGTCTGGCCACAGTGAGGTCCCAGTCACTCCACACCAGACCTGTTGTCAGAGACCATCTGATCTGACCTTTATATTGTTCAGATGGGGAACTGGCCACCCGGAGAGGTGCAGAGACTTGTCTCAGTCAATCCCTAGAAGAACTGAGACTTGAACTCAGTTCTCCTGACTCGTAGTCTAAGGCTCTTTCTCCCTGAGCCAGAGCTCAGGGCCACTCAACTGTTCATCCCTTTGAGTGCAGTGGGTGACTTCAGAGTAAGGAGTCAGAAGGTCTGGGAGGGTAACTTGCTGGGCCCGCAGCCTTCAGGGAGGGTGGACCTGCTAGTAGAAATGGGCGTCATTCAAGCTTTTCTCTCCTTTTTTCATCACCAGAAAGTCCCCTTTCCTTTGGGTGCCCGGAGTCTACATTCACCCCATCCCTTTTGCTGATTATCCGTGAAGGATAGCTCCTCGCCCTGCCTGGGTAGTCACCAGGGGGCCCTGGATCTGGGGTCGGGGATGGAGGTGTGGGGGGCGGAGCTGAAGCCTGGCCCAGCACCCCAGGGCCCTAGGCCCTCTATCTGGCCCACTCCCTTCTCGGGTCTGCCCTGGCTTGCCCCGTTTCCCAGGAGCAGCTGGCTCTCGTCCCAGTGGAGCATGGGAACAGCTCGGGTGGGGACATAGGAGGGGCTTCCCAGCAGGTCTCACCTCTCCCACCTGGCACGGTTCCCACCCTGCACCTGAGAGATGCACCTCTGAGTCCTTCTTAAGCTTTCCTGCCGTGGAGCCCACAGGATGGCTCAGCGTGCTGGGGAAACTGAGGGAGAAAACCTTTGGGCGTGGGTGCCAGGAGACTCTGTGTGCCCTAGCACCCATCCTCCCCCCCTGCTAGGATCTGTTGCCCCAGCTATAAAATCGAGGAGCTGGATCTTGGTGTTCCGGAAAGTCGGCAGGTAGATGTGGGTCCGGCTAGAGTGCCAGCCCTGGCCAGTCATGAACTCTGAGCTGGGAGATCTCTGAAAACCATGCGTCCTGACACCCAAGCCTTGCATCAGTAGATTTGTGGGCCACTCAAGGCAGCTTGCATCAATCCTCGGGGAGGGTTCTTCTGATTATCCCCCATTGCATAGATGAGAATACCAAACACCAGAAAGGGTAAATACCAGGTCCCAAGTGACACAGCTAGTAAGCTGTAGAGTCTGGATTTGAGCCCGGGTCTCCTGGACTTGGATGGAGCCTGTGTTCTTCATTTCGGCAGCAGAGACTGGGGTATAGCCAGTCCTCCCTGCTGGGTCTGTCTGAGGGTAGTGGGTTTCCCATCCAGGAAGCCATGTGCAGGCGAGCCTGGACTGCTCCTTGGAGCCTCCTTTCCTCTCTGGGGGTCAAGGTGTGTGGTTCAGGCCAGCGCTTCTAGGCTGACATACTCTCAGCTCTGCCCTGAAGCTCTGGGTGACCCCAGCATAGCATATAATCTCTGAGCCTCAGTTTCCTATCTGCCAAACAGACACAATTCTGGTGCCACCGGACTTCAAAGGCTCACATACCTCAAGGATCTCGGATGACAAACTGCTTTCATTGCAATCAGAATAATTAATAAAATGTTTTGGCTCGGGCGGGCGGGAGCAGAGGAAGTAAGCGGGCGGCGGCTGCCGAGGTGACAGCTGGCTGGAGAGGTGGAGCCAGGGAATGGGTGGGGAGGGGGCGGGCCGGGCCGGCCAGAGCTCAGGGGTAGAGACGCACCCCAGGAGCTGGCCGTCTACATCCCGCAAGCATCAGCCGCCTCGAACTATGAGCCGTGAGTCCGACACTGGTGCCCCCACGAATCCTCCTTTGCCTCTTGGTGGAGCCTTGAATGCCAGACTCAGCCCTAATGTCTCTCACTCTGCAGGGAGGAGTCGTTTGCTCCGGTTCCCGCTGCTCCTGCTGCTGCTGCAGCCGCCCCAGGTCCTGCCCGCGGATTCCCGGGCCCCCGCGCCGGGTAGGCGGCCCCCTCCCTGACCCCGAGAGCCTCCAGTCCCGAGCCCTGTCTTGGCCCCTCCCCCTCCTCTCCCTTCGGACAGGCCCAGCTTCCCCTTTCTGTTCTCGGTCCCTGGAATGGGGGAGGGCTCGGAGTCTGCGGGAGAGGGGCTCTCCGAAGACCCCTGGGGAGGGGGTGTGGCTTTGGTTAAGGTCTCTGCTAGGGTTTCCTTTGCAGGGGATGGGGTGGAGAGGGCAGACTGGGATCTCATGCCGCCTTGGGGAGAAGGGACAGCCCCTCTCCAGCCCCCTCACCTGTCCTGGGCCCCCAGCTGTCCAAGCTGCCTTTTCTCCAACAACTTCGTTGCTTCCTGCGGGGAGGGGGCGGGGAGGGACTCTTTCCGAAGAAGCAGCAGGCAGCAGGGGGAAGCCAGCCGCCAGTTGTCTCTTTCCAGCCTCTAACTTTCTGGGAACCCATGGGGACTCTCAGCCCCGGGATAGAAGATCTCCCTTGGTGAGGGTCCGGGTAAAGCAGCCATTCTGAGAAGACTGGGGGTAGAAATACATTTATTTACAGAGCTGGGTTGCCTCCCCCGAGGTTAAAATCCTCACCCACTGGGTAGGTGAGTTAGGCCCAGGTAGGTGCCATAATTCTTTCTAGCGCTTAGTACATGGTGGGCTAAGGGTGTGAACTTGAATCTCTCTTACCCTAGGTATTTTGCAAAGTCCTTCCACAGAGAGTCCCCCTCCTCCCCCTGCCACTCCCTTCCTTGGTCCCTGATTTCATCACCCAGAAGATGATGGGGAAAGTCAGATTCTGTAAAATTCCACAATTCCTGCATGACACCCTCCCCCCCACCGGCCCCACGTACCAGGTTTCAGGTGGAAGAATTCAGCTCCACCCTCAGCCAGCCTCTCTCCCCCAGCTTACTACGTGTGTGTGTGTGGGTGCACATGCGTGTGTGTAAGGTCGGCACATAGCTTCCTTCACCATCTAGCTGTGTGATCCATCCCTCTCTGCGTCTCCATTTCCCGTCTGTAAAATGGGGCAAGAGAGGATGGGGGTGGGGAAAGGGGTCTGAGCCTTCTGTTGTGATGATCTGGCGATTTGGTGCTCAGAGGAGAGAAGAAAGATGTCTATCTATGTGGACTGTGAATGAGACCGGATTTCCTAGAGAGAGAGCGTTTGAGTGGGTGGCGTTTGGGGAAGCCAGGAAGAGAATGGCGGGGTGGTACTCCAGAGACTGGGTATGAGCAAAGTCCCAGTCTGTGGGAGGAAGAGAAAGAAGACTCACGTGGCCAGCACTTTACAGTTTACAAAGCCCAGCTATGCCACTTCTTGGTGCTCATAACAGCCCGGCCAGAGAGATGTGCCAGACCCATTCTACAGAAGGGAGCTCTGAGGCCCAGAGGGAAGAGCCCATTTGTCTGAGACCCCAGTGGCAGAGCCGGGGCCCACCAGGTTGCCCTAGTGCCTGACTTGTCAGCCCGTGGATCTGCACGGCACTTCCTTCGAGGCCCCATCCAGGCCCCCCGGGAAACAGGGCCAGTCTGCCCATCTTCCTGTGAGCTCTCTAACACCCACTGAACCATGGTCTGTGCCGTTTTGTTTTTGTCTTTTCTACTTATCTTTATATCATAAGTGTTTAAATGGAATTATGCTCTTCACTCCACAAACATTCCCAAGGGCTCGCTCTAAGCTAGTTGTCGGCTGGAGCTGGAGGCACGGAGCTGGGAGGGACCCACCTTCTCATACGGGGACAGAAATGCCAACAGACTGTCATCCACCGGGGTCAGGGCCATGCATGAGGGCTGCACTGGGGTGTGTGAGGCTCAGGGTGGGGAGCAGTTTCCTCTCAAGAGAGAGAGACCGAGGTCGACTTACTGGAGGTGGAGATGTTTGCCCCAGACCCTGAAGGAGGTGGTGAGTGGTGGGAAGTGCTCTGAGGCTTTACTGGGAGACCCTGTAAGGTCATTCTGAGAGAAGCAGTGGCAGAGCTGGAGCCTCAAGCTCTGGGCCCCGGGGGGCAGGCAGGAGCGTTGGGAGCCGTAGGACAGGATGCAGGTGCTGGCTGGCAAGGGCCTTTGAACGTGGGTAAGGAGCCAGGACTTGGGCCTGAGGGTAAGCAGGTTGGATGGTTGAGACTAGAGGCCCGGAAACCTTTAAGGAGGCTACTGTCAGGGTCAAGGAAAGAGCGATGACAAGATGGGTGCAGCTGTACTTTGTACTTCCATTCTGTGAGTGGACTGAGGTCCAAGACGTCTGGGCATCTGCTCCGGGAAGCCGGAGCCTATGCTTTGCCTTCAGAGGAAAAGCAAAGGCCAACCTCCAGCAGCTGAGGGCTGCAGACTCACCTGAGGGCAGGTGACAGGAGACAGTGTTACTCTGGCTTCTCCGTGTTGGGGAGGAGATTGGCTTGGAGGGCAAGGCCGTGCCACAGGAGTCTTAATGCTCAAGCTTATCCCCTCCAGTCCCTGGGCTTGGCTTAGAGCTTTCTCCTTGACTACGGACATGGCATGACCTGGCAGTTGGAGCTCTGTGCCAGGCAGAGGGGCCTGAGGCCAGTTAGCCCTGGCCCACGGGGACGGGAGCCCAGCCTGTGCGAAGGCCTCCCTGCCGCCCGCGGCCTGCTGTCTCCTATCTGCAGCGCCAGCTGGGTCTGTGGGCCAGGAGGGGGCTTCCTCTCCAGTTGGCCCATCCAGCTGTGGGCCCAACTGTTGGGGCCTGGGGTGGTGGTGCCTGGCCCCTGGCTGCAGACCTAGCTGAGTGTAGGGGCTGGGGCCCGGATCTGGCTCATCAGGGCCTTTTTTTTTTCCCCTCTCTGGCTGCCAAGCCCCTGGAGTTTTTCTAAATATTATTCCTAAAGGATTTCAGTTCAGTCCCATTAAGGGTCCCTCTTGCTGCCTGGTGCCTGTGCATCCTGGAGGAGTTGCTGTTTCTTCACTGTGCCCAGAGCCCTGACTCCTGGGCTGGGGGATGTTTCCTTGCCTGAATCCTCAGAAAGTTCTGGAGCCAGATAGTCCTGGATACTCCTCATTTGTGAGAATTTGTGCGGTCTGAGCATACTGATCAACCCCATACCTGGGGTGGCTTGTAGATTCAGGGAGAGCAGATTGCAAGGTTCTCTGCTGATGGGCCAGGGGATTCGTACTGATGCAAATAATGAAGAAGGGGAGACTGCAGAGGAGGCCTCTTCAGAGCCCACCTGCTCCATTCCCTTTCTGGGACACACAGGAAAAATGAGGCCCAGAGAGTGGACGGGATTTGCCCAGATACACACGACCAGCAAAGAGCAGCCACTCTCCTGATACATTTCCGCCAGCACCTACCTGGCACGTGACCTGTGCTGGGAACTCAGTGGATTTGGTGCCTGCATCTCTCCAGGTCTCTTTCTGGATGGTTCATTATGCAGGGTGTCCTCCACTGAGCACAGAACTGGGCTGGCACGAAAGCATGCCAGACTTAAGTTAGACTGAAGGAAGGCCTTTCTCTGTGAGTGGTTCCCTGAGTTCTTGTTGTGGCAGAGGATGGTGATCCCTCTGAGGCCGTTCCCGGCCTGTGGATCAGAGTGCCTCTCCTACCCCATCCTTTTCTCAGATCCAGGCCTGGAAACCTCCAGGGAGAGAAAAGGAGGGAAAGGGAAGGGAATCCAAGTCTTGTGGGGCTTGGGCCGGTCTCCTGCTGCCTGAGCCTGGAATTCCTCCTCTGTGCCCTGCGGGGAGTCTCCACACTCTCCTGGGGAGTGCCGGGCAGATAGAAAGAATGGGGGTACGCAAGCCTGTGGAGTGGTCAGTCGCTAGAGCCCCGGATTTCCCGGCGACTGCGACAGTCCAGCGTGGTCAGGCTCATCCAGGGAAGGAGACATTCAGACTCCTCTCTGCTCACGCGGCCACCCTGGAGCCCCAGAGGCAACTGTTTTCCTCACTGGGGAGAACTTTTCCTGCCCGGGGGCAGCTGGTGTTTATGGAAAGATCGTGGAGGAGGAGGGAGGGAGAAAATTGGATAGTGGGTCTGGGAGGGAGGAGCCTCTGCATGGACATAGCCTCTCTTGGCAGGAGAGGGGTGCGGGCAGGAGCTAGGGCAGAACTCTGGGGCAGGAATCAGGAAGCCTCCAGGCCAGCCTTCCGAGCCGGATGCCAGGGCCGGGGAGACGAGGAATGTCTTTGGCCAAGCTCAGGGTAACTGGCTTCATTTTATCGACTCCACAAACATCTGTTGAGTTCTGGCCACCACATCTGGATCCCTTGGGTGGCAGGATCTCTCCAGGACTTGGGTTGAGCCCCAGTGTGTGTGTGGCTTGTGTCAGAGAGGAGAAAGTGGGGGGGAGTGTGGCTCCTTCTCTTGGGGGCTCATGGTGGAGAAGAGCAGGTTGAGTGGGAACAGAGTGGAGTGAAGGAGACATTCATGGAAGGTGTTCTGGAGGAGGCAAGGCACAAGCTCAGTAGGAAAGTCAGGTGACCCTGGAGGAGTTTGTTAGGGAAGAACAGTGGCCTGGGCCAAGGAAGGAGAAGAGCCTTTGGCTTTGGAGCTAAGGGATGGGGCTGCCACAGAATGATCTAGAAGGCCCTCTTGAGTTTCTTTCGAGAGCCCTACAGTGGTCGGGATGGGGAAACTGAGCCGAGGGAAGGGCTGGGCTTTAGCTCCTACTCCTGCTTAGGGGTAAGACTGATCCATCTGGGGTAGAGGGCCTTGTGTGCCCAGGGTGGGGGCTGGGCGGTGGGAAGCTACAGGGGCTGCTGGGCAGGTGAATTAGGCAGGTAGGCACAGCGTCCTGAGCGGGAGGGATCAATGAGGAGAGTTCCAGAGCCCTGAGCCTGCTGGGGTGATTACCCCCTCCCCCTCCTTAGCGTTCCTGGGCACGTGCCTGTGGGAAAGGGGGCTGCGTCCTGCCTGCTAGGCCTGCCTGTATCAGCTTGATAAGGCCATTTTGTCCAGCCCTCTTCCCGTTGGCCCCTCCCTTCTGCACCCCCGACGGGGGCCACAGAGATGCCATTGTGGGGCTGTGGGGAGTTGCCAGGCTTAACCAAAAAGTATTTGCATGATTCCTGTGATTCTCTTCTTGCTTGCCTGAGGGGAGGTCCCAGGGGCACTGCTGCTGGGGACCGTTCCTGGGTGGCTCTCCAGGCCCCATCCTGCCAAGTGGAGAGGCTGAGAGTTGAGGGGTCAGTCCTTGCCCAGGCCATGCCCTCATATCACAACACCCTTGCTACCCCCTTGGCCCTCTGCCACCTCTTGCTACCCTCTTGGCTCCCAATAATCCATTGCACAAAGGATAGGAGTTCCCTGTAACGCTGGCTCTGAGCCTGGAAAAGGAAGTGTGTTTGTATAAGGGAGCCTGGTGTTTTCTGTGTGAGGCTGACGAGGCAGCCCCGGCCAGGATCCAGGAGACCTGGGTCTGCAGCAGGCCCTGCTCCATTCTGTGTCCTTGGCCAAGCCTCCACCTCTCCCTGAGCCTCACTTTCCCTTGCTGAACCGTGATGAGCACTGAATGAGCTCTGAGAAGTCTACCTCTGCTGTTGAAGAATCACTAAAGTAGTGCAGGGGCGCCTGGGTGGCTCAGTGGTTAAGTGTTCAACTTCGGCTCAGGTCATGATCTCGCTGTTTGTGGGTTCGAGCCCTGTGTCAGGCTCTGTGCTGACAGCCAGCTGAGAGCCTGGAGACTGTTTCAGATTCTGTGTCTCCCTCTCTCTCTGACCCTCCCCTGCTCATGCTGTCTCTCTCTCTCTCTCAGAAATAAATAAAACATTAAAAAAAAAAAAAAGAATCACTAAAGTAGTGCAGATTTGAGCAAAGGGGCTGTGGTCAGCAAGACCTGGGTTAGACATAAGAAAGGACTTCCTAGCGGGCATTTCTCCAGGAGGCAGGAGGGCTGATGCCAGAGCTCCACTCACCCCCTCAGGAGGTTTTTCCAACTATGTCTCCTCTGTCCCTTGGTCCCTGACCTTCCTCAAGATCCTTGAGCCCAGACTGTGCTCTGACATAGGCCAAGGCTGGGCCTATCAGGAATGGGGGCTCAGATCTCCTCAAACCTACACTTTGTTCACAAGGTTCTGGGAAACTTCCTTCCTTGGACTTGAATGTCAAGTCTTGGATGGGGTGGTATGGTGGAAATGAAGGTAAATTGGTCTGGTGTGACTTGCTAGGTAACTTGTGGGGGGTTTGCCTTGTCAGGCCTCAGTTTCTCCATTTGCAAGTGGGCATTATGATTCCTGCATATATCTTCCTCCATTTCTACAAAAATAAAAGGATGGTGGGCAATCTCACCTTCCCAGTGTCCAGGTACCCAGAGTTTGGGGGCTGGTCTGAGAGAATCCCCTATCCTTATCCCTTTCCTGAACTTTACAAACCCAGCCCTTGGTGCTGGGCTCTGACTGGGCAAGAAGTGAATGCTCTAGAACCTTGTGGCTGTTGCATCTTATCAGCTGTTTCCTAATCTTTGGTGTCACAATTTCGTGTCTAGACTCTCCCCCTGTCCTATATTGATGGTATCAGGGAAGGTGAGGGGACTTCCCTTGGGGCCCAGTTTGGAGTAGGTTAGAGACCAGAGTGGGGCCTTAACAGGGCAGGGCTGGGGACTGTAACTGTGGGAACAGATAGGACCCTTAGGTGAACACTGAAGTCCAGAGAGGGCCACTGAGTGAGTTAGGACAGAGCTGTGACTTGAGTCCATGTGTCTGGCCTCATACTTCCCCATCAGGGACAGGATGGCGGTTGAGAGGTCATCCTCGAGTGGTCTCTCATCTCTGTTTCTCCCCTACAGTGAATCCTTGCTGTTACTACCCATGTCAACACCAGGGGATCTGTGTCCGCTTCGGCCTTGACCGCTACCAGTGTGACTGCACCCGCACGGGATATTCTGGCCCCAACTGCACCATCCGTGAGCCAGGCCTCCTGACTCCACTCCTGTCCTGGGCTCCCTTGCTCCCTTGGGCCTGTCCTGAGAACCCCCCAGTCCCTGCCCTTGTTTCTGGCCTTAGCTCCGTTCTCCTTCCTTGCCTGGCTTTGACCTCCGACACGCTCCCTGACCCGGCTGAAGCAGAGCTCTCCCTCTTGGCACACCTCATACCCTCGCCCTGTCCCTTGCCCTCCCATCTGCTTCTGGCTCTGTCATGTGTCGTCTCTCCCAAGGTTCCGTCCTTACTCTGCCCTGTATGTTCTGCCCGGTTCTGTCCTGGCCTCATTCCTGGTTCCCATCTTTCACTTGGGTCACTTCTGGTCCTGCCAGGAGGTCCCGACTGAGTGGCTCCCATTGTCCCTGCAGCCGAGCTGTGGACCTGGCTCCGGAATTCACTGCGACCCAGCCCCTCTTTCCTCCACTTCCTGCTGACTCATGGACGCTGGTTCTGGGAGTTTGTCAATGCCACTTTCATCCGAGATATGCTTATGCGCCTGGTACTCACAGGTGGGTGGAGGGCAGCCCCCTCCCTTGATCTGGGGAGCAGGAAGTCCCCCCAGCTCTTGGAATTCTTGGCATATGATAAGGGCAGTGGGTAAGTTGACTGTGATGCCAGATTAAACAAGTCCAACCCAAGAGAAGGCAGGGAGGGGGGTGTAACTAGGGATGGGAACCCCCTTGTCACCATATTCTCCCTCTGCAGTGCGTTCCAACCTTATCCCCAGCCCCCCCACCTACAACACAGCGCACGACTACATCAGCTGGGAGTCCTTCTCCAATGTGAGCTATTATACTCGCATTCTGCCCTCCGTGCCCCAAGACTGCCCCACGCCCATGGGAACCAAAGGTAATGGAGATGGGGTTGGGGGGGGTCACAGGAGTTGCTCTGTTCTCTCTGGGGAAAAGCAGATGAAAAAGCAATTATTGATCCATTTCCCAGGCAGGTGGTCCAAGACAAGACATATGACGTATCAGAACCATGGACAAGGACAGGACTGGGGAATGAGAATAGGAAACAGTGGTGGAGACTTGCCTGTGGTCACTTAGGAAGTCAGTGGCCGAGTCAAACTAGTGCTTTTATATTTCCAGGGTGCCTCTTTGCTTGAGTCTTGTCTACTGAATTGACGGCATCCTGCTAAAATGGGGGTGACTCAAGAGTTGAAATGTAGGAAGAAAGGAATCCTGTGCTATTTGTTGGATGCTAATTCCATGTTTGGTTCTTAACTGATGTAAATAGTTTACCACATGCTTCATCAGTGTGGGTTACACGTAAAGCCAGAGGTTTTTTTCTTTAGCTGTCCAAGACCCCACTTGTTCTTATTGGCAGGGATCTTCCTCCTATGTCCTTTTTCCCACTCCACTCTTGACTGCTCCAAAACCCAGGGAGGGGTTCACTCAGTTCAGAGCTATGAACTCTGCTTCAAATACAGAGGGGAGATGAGAGGCATTGGTCCACTGCTGCCATCACTCCCATCCCTGCCCACATGGTGTCGCTGTTGAACACTGGGTCCTGTGCACCCCTATGGTTGTGAGCTTTTGCCAGCTCAGAACCTTGCCTATATATTGATGTCCTAATATGGGTCTCAGGGCACTACTCTGATGGTTTGCACTTATATGTTTAGCTCCTATCCCTACTGCATGACTATTCTGCCAGATAGCTGGGTCTTGCAGAGTCTCTGGACTCAGCCAGCACTGTGCAGGATGTCAATTCCAGTGATGAGTCCAGATTATAGGGTGCAGACCACTCCCTCCAGCTTCCCTTTTGGTGAGTTTCCTTTGGGGTGCTTGATCTCCTTGCATGCCAGAGGAAACCAGTCTCAAGAGGGTGCAGACGACTCCTTCCAGCTTCCCTTTTGGTGAGTTTCCTTTGGGGTGCTTGATCTCCTTGCATGCCAGAGGAAACCAGTCTCAATCCAGAGAGGTTCTCCTGATCTTGAACCTTCAACATTGGGTCTCGCTTGAGGTATTAAGAAAAGGTGCCTTTACCAAAACACAAAAATTCAGTTACTCCTTTCTGTATGGAAATTGGGCACCAACGCTTCTGACACTGACCTAATTAAGGAAGGCTCTTAAAACTTGTTCTCATGACAGAACCTGCTTCGAGGGGACCTGTTGTCTTTACCCCAGACAGAAAGACTGGCATATTTAAAATAGGTGGGCAAACTCCAGTCCACAGTCCAAATCCAGTCCACTCCCTGTTTTTTTTTTTTTTTTTACAAATAGTTTATTGTCAAATTAGTTTCTACATAACACTCAGTGCTCATCCCCAAAGTGCCCTCCTCCATGCCCATCCCCCCCTCCCCCCCACATCCATCAGTCCTCAGTTTTTGTCAGCATTCAAGAGTCTCTCATGGTTTGCCTCTCTCCCTTTCCCCCACCATTTCCGCCCTTCTTCTCCCGCTTGTTCCTCCGTCAAGTTCCTCCTAATCCTCCTATACGTGCAAACATATGATATTTGTCCTTCTCTGCCTGACTTATTTCGCTCAGCATAACACCCTCAAGGTCCATCCATGTTGCTACACATGGCCAGATTTCATTCTTTCTCATTGCCATGTAGTATTCCATGGTATAGATAAACCACATCTTCTTGATCCATTCATCTGTTGATGGACACTTAGGCTCTTTCCATGTTTTAGCTATTGTGGAGAGTGCTGCTATGAACATTGCCACTCCCTGTTTTTTTGAATAAAGTTTTATTAGGACTGAGTCACGCTCATTTGTTTAGGCATCATCTATGACTGTTTTCCCCACTACAACAGCAAAGCAGAGTAGATGGTGACAGAGCTTTTTCAGGCAAAGCCTGAAAAAAAGATTGACTGTCTGGCTTCTTACAGAAAAAGTTTGAAGTTTGCTGATCCTTGATTTACAAGATCCCATCTCACCGGTTCTCAGTCATGCTTACATTATCTCATGTACTCCTCAAAATACTGCATAAAGTAGGTATCATTTGCATAAATTAGTATCATTTGCCCTATTTTACAGATGAAGGAATTGGGGTTCAGAGAGATGAAATCACTTATCTGTGTTCACACAGTCAGCAAATGGCGTACCCAGATTCAAACACAGGCTACCTTGCTCCAGGGCCAGGGAGTCCAAGTTCTTTTTTTATTTTTTCTTTATTTCTGTTTCATTTACTTGTCTTTCTTCTTTATTTTTGGTTAACTTTTTAAAGCTGCAAACACACACAAAAGTTGAGAAGAAAGTATAATAAACTCCTATGTAGCAATCTCTCCATTTCAACACGTATCCACAATTTGCCAATCTTATCTCACCTATCTCCCTTACCTATTTTTAATGGAGTATTTTAGAGCAGATTCCAAATATCATACCACTTCACCCATAAATACTTCTGAGGTCTTTTGGTAGAAAAGGTGCAATGGGCCATCCTGTAGGAGGGAGGCTGTTCTGGGCTTCCTGTGTGGACCAGTTTGGTCCAGCGAGCCCAGAAGACCCCAGGACAGGGAGGTTGAGACAGCAGGCTGCCCTTTCCCACCTTCCCAACCAGGGAAGAAGCAGTTGCCGGATGCCCAGCTACTGGGCCATCGTTTCCTGCTCAGGAGGAAGTTCATACCTGACCCCCAAGGCACCAACCTCATGTTCGCCTTCTTTGCACAACACTTCACCCACCAGTTCTTCAAAACTTCTGGCAAGATGGGTCCTGGCTTCACCAAGGCCTTGGGCCATGGGGTGAGTACCGAGGAGGGGCTCAGGACTTCTCTGGATCTAACTTAGCACATGCAGGTCAGCACCACTGAGGCAGTACCCCGTGATCTGAGTGGACCCTCTTTCTGTCCTCAGGTAGATCTCGGCCACATTTATGGGGACAACCTCGAACGTCAGTATCAGCTGCGGCTCTTTAAGGATGGGAAACTCAAATACCAGGTAGCACTGTGCTTGCAGATGGGGCAGTGGGAAAGGCTTCCTGTGGCCTTCCCTGGCAGAGGCTGCTGGGGGGCCTGAGTGGCATCTTCAGAGGACCAGCTGCAGGAGCTGGAGGTGTGTGTGAGGAGGAGAGATGATGAACCCTGGGGGAAGGTGCCAGGCAAGAGAAGCACATTAGGAGCAGACATGGCCTCTCATGTTCTCCTGGAGGTGGACGTTGGAGTCTACATATATACATTTAATTTTTCCACCATATCATTTGGACACTATGATGTTCCTGTCACAGGTGATCAAGCAGTGACCATGATAGTTAATGGTCCCTGACCTTAAGGAACCCACAGCCCATCTGGGCCACACCCACACACTAGGATGCCAGATCCATGACTTTCTGTCCGCACTAGCACTGTCCACCAGGAATATAATGTGAACCATGTATGTCATTACAGTTCTCTGGTGGCCACATTAAGGAAGGTAAAAAGAAACAGGGGAAATTGACTTTAATAATATATTTTATTTAACCCTATATATATATATATATATATATATATATAGCCAGAATATCATCATTTCAATGTTTAATTGATACAGAAATTATTTTTAATACAGAAATTATGAATAAAATATCTTACATTCTTTTTTTTCATGCTAAATCTTCAAAATCTGATCTATATTTTATATTGCCCACACTTGGGATGCCAAATTTTCACTGGCGACAATCTGATCTGTACTTAGATTTTGTAAAGTTACAGCTGAAAAGCAGGTTCACATGCCCATGTTGTTCTGAGCATACTTGAAGGTTTTCCAACTGCTGAAGTGTCAGTTTTAAAATGTAAATCTGAATTAAACACAGTTAAAGATCCAGTTCTTCATTCACACCAGCCACATGTCTAGGGCTCAACAGCTACACGTGACTCGTGGCTACCATATTGGACCACGCACATCTAGACAAGCCCAAACCCAAACCCAAAGTTCACTGCTGACTCTTTAAGGCTAGAAAAAATACTTGGCATATAGTAGGCCCTCAGTCTATGATTGAAAAGGCTGCCATATGATCAATTACACTTGTGATCACCCACTAGGGAGAAGCTCTGAGAGCACTCAGAAGGCGGGGAAGGCTTCCCCGGGAAGTTCAGATACACCGAGAGCTGCAGAGATGATGTGATGGAGTTCAGGAGGCCCAGACTGGAAAGGGGCTTCCAGCCTAGCAGTGTGTGGCTGGACTTGGAGAGGAGAAGCAGCTTGTGTGGCTCAGAAGAGTAAGGGAAGGGAAGCGTGTCTGGCTGGACACCCGAATGATGGCAGGCGAGGGTGGAGACACCAGTGGGGCCGTGTTTAGGATTTATGATTTCTGCCAAGAGCAGAGAGAGAACTTGGAAGGGTTTAGAGCCAGGACCTGATACTAGATTTGAGTTTGTTTGTTTAAAGGATAACTCTGGCTATGGTACTGAGAATGGACTGTCTGGGGGCAAGTGTTGATATAGGGAGGCATTGATGGGAGGGGTCAGCATGGAGGATGAGGGTGGGTTAGAAGCAGGTGGTGGCAGTGGGGAGAGAGAGAAAGGGACCCATTCTAAGAAAGATTTAGGAACTAGAATCAGCTAAAATCAGCAGCCTTGGTTACAGAAGATGGGCAATTGCCCTGAGTGATATGGGCAGCTATAAGAGGGGAGGGTGTCAGCTGTGGCAGGTGCTGGCACCTGCCCCATCCCCAGGTTGCCAGGAGGCCCCATCCCGCAGGTGCTGCATGGAGAGATGTACCCGCCATCGGTGGAGGAGGCGCCGGTGTTGATGCACTACCCACGGAACATTCCGCCCCACAGCCAGATGGCCGTGGGTCAGGAGGTGTTTGGGCTGCTTCCCGGGCTCATGCTGTATGCCACGCTCTGGCTGCGTGAGCACAACCGTGTGTGTGACCTGCTGAAGACTGAGCACCCCACCTGGGGTGATGAGCAACTCTTCCAGACGGCGCGCCTCATCCTTATTGGTGAGGACTCCAGACCAGCCCTGTCCTGGAAGGTCATGTCCACCGTCCTGAAAAGCAGGGTGTGTGTGGTGGGGAACAGTTTGGGTAGAGAGAGCTGGGATTAGGACCCCATCTCCTCCGCGTAAAAGCTATAAGATCTTGAGCAGGCCCCTCCTGCTATGTGAACCTCAGTTTCCAAATCTGGACACTGGGGATAATGATAGTTGTAAGGATTTGTAGAGATGATGAAAAGCACCTAGCACATAGTAGGCCTTTGGAAAATGGATGGCTGTGATGGTCATTATTAGCTGGGTGACTTACAGCAGATTTGATTAGCCAACCCAATCTGTCTCCCCACTGTACTGCTCTAGAAGCACACAGTGATATCCCCAGCCATGCAGTCAGATTCCAGCCTGCCCAGCCGTCAGGAATCCTCATGTTTCTGCCCTGCATGCATCTGCCATCCTGGAGTTTGGTAGCTTCTGGGTGACTCAGGGACAGGATATTTTTGTGTCCCCTATGGGGGCGAGTCTGCAGCCTAAAATGTCAGATGGTTTCCTGCCTGGGAGCTTGGTCCTGGACACCCTGTCCAGACGGTGTTCACTCTGAGTCACCAGAAACCACTTTCCCTCGCCTCTGGGCATCACTGGACATGGCTGGTTCCAATTATATTGCCTGATTCACTAGAGCCTGGAAGAACCAGGCATCAGGGATAGCAACAGTCTAAAGAAGAAGGGGCTTGTGCTGAAGTCCCAGCATTTTGGAGACTTTGACTAGAGAGGGCAAGTCTGTGGCTGTAGACTGGTGTCAAAGCTATGATGAAAGGTAACGAAGCTTTATGTCCAGTGCCTTGGTTAACCCTCCCCAACAACCCTATTAACCAGGTATGATTGCCCTTGTTGTGAAAATTAAGATTCAGAGAGGTTAAGTGAAATCTCCAAGGCTACTCAGTAGAGGTCTGGCTGCCATGGAAGCTCGTGCTTCTTGCACCACATCTGAAGCAGAGCTCCTTCCTGAGTGGGGGGAGGGGGTTTCCCTGCATGCCTACACAGAGCCATCCTCCTTCCCACCTGCATGTGGTCATACTCCCAGTTATGCAGGGCCCTGGGCCAAGCATCGTCTGTCCACTGTTCCCAATGGCCCTATCCATAGTATCATGATGCATATTTTACAGAGAAGGAAGGTGAGGTTCAGACAGATGAGGTGACGCAGCCCAAGCTTGGAGAGGGGGAAGGGTGGCTAAGAATGGTGATGCCAAGCTCTGGACCTTGCCAATGACAAATCTCATGGCTCCAGATCAATTTGCTAGAAACCAGTTTGTCTCATGGCTAATTGGCTAAAAGAATCAGTTCCTTTTCCTCTCTAGAGGACCAGTTTTCATTCTGTTATGGAATATTCAGTTTGTTCCTTCCCTGGCTCCTTGCCATGTAACTGGTTACCGAGAGGGCAGAGGAAAAGCTATTCATGAAAATTCTGATGGGTAAGAAAATATAAGACATGTATGTGGGACCAGATTCATCTTAAATCCTCAGCCTGCCTCTTTCATTGCTGTGGCAGCTTTGAGGGGTCTTTCTGAAGCTTCCCTCACCCCTGGAAGGTGTCGGCACCCTGAGAGCCCCCACAAAGTCATTTCCACTTTCCCATCATTTGTGACCACTCCCACTTCTTGTCATGGGCTGTGGGAGGGTGGTCACCATAAGGCCACAAAACCAATTCTCGGGCACTTCCTTCCATGTTCTGCTTAGCTGGGCTTATGACATCCCTTTGGAATGTGGGAGTAGCTGTTGGCTCTTGTCTCGGGACGTTGGTCCAACCTGAGACAGAAAGCTCCTTTCTCAGGGCACCTGGGTGGCTCAGTCAGTTAAGTGCCTGGCTCTTGATTTTGGCTCAGGTCATGATCTCATGGTTGTGAGACTGAGCTCCACATCAGGCTCCACACCGAGCATGGGACCTGCTTAAGATTCTCTCTCTCCCTCTGCTCCTCCCCTTCTCATGCTTTCTCTTTCTGTCTCAAAAAAAAAAATAAAAAAAAAGAGAGAGAGAAAGCTCCATTTTCACACCCCGTTACAAAAAGACTAAGTGAAAGTGGCCTCCCAAATTCACCAACAACAATAACAATAAAGAAGCAAAAAGCAAGCGCTGTTCATGAATAGGCCTGCCTCCCTTGCCGGGTGGCAGAATCCCTGTGCTACCCTGATGCTTTGCCCTCCCCCCCGCCCTCCCACCCCCAGGGGAGACCATCAAGATTGTGATTGAGGAGTACGTGCAGCAGCTGAGCGGCTACTTCCTGCAGCTGAAGTTCGACCCAGAGCTGCTGTTTGGTGTCCAGTTCCAGTACCGCAACCGCATTGCCATGGAATTCAACCAGTTGTACCACTGGCACCCACTCATGCCTGACTCCTTCAAGGTGGGCTCCCAGGAGTACAGCTACGAGCAGTTCCTGTTCAACACCTCCATGCTGGTGGACTACGGGGTCGAGGCCCTGGTGGATGCCTTCTCTCGCCAGAGCGCTGGCCGGGTAGGCCTCAGGGGAGCGTGGGGGAGGACAGCTGGGCTCTGGGGTACAATTGACCAGTGTCCTTTTCTGTTCCATAGGGACAGTGTCACTCTGACATTCCCTCACCCATTCCTTTATTCCTCCTCTTGGTCTTTCATTCATTCAGTGACAGCAGGTATCACTCTGGGTGCTGGGGATAGAGTGGTGAGCAAGATCAGCGTGTTTCTTAGGTCCTTGTCCTCTTGGCCACTGGCACCCTGGTGAGGAACGATAGTCACACAACAGCTAACATCATGCCAGCACTTACTGTGTGCAAGGCACTGCGCCAGGTGCTTTTCTGACATTATCAGAATTATAAGAGCATAAGAGCCACAATGCAAACAGCCCACAGTGCTCTGGGAACTTGGGGAGGGACTTGTGACCCGGAGTGGAGAGCTGTAGATAAGGAAATGATGTCTGCGCCGAGATTCAAAGGATGGAAAGAGCTCTCCCAGGGAAAGGGGTAGTGTTAATGGCAAGAGATGATCGTTCTCCGCATGGAGGGCACAGCATGGCAACGGCCTGGAGCTCAGAGGGCATGGCAACTTGAGGACCATGAGGACACTCAGGGTATGGTAATATACGCAAAGGTGTCTTCACATAGTAGGTCTTTATTAAATCACAGGCTGTATTGTCCCCACCTCCCATTCATAGGTTGATGTCCTAACCCTCTGTGCTCAGAATGTGACTGTATTTGGAGACGGGGCCTTTACAGAGGTAATTAAGGTTAAATGAGCTCAGAGGGTGGGCCGTACTGTGACTAGTGCCCTTTATGAGGAGAGATTAGGGTGTAGACATGAGCAGTGGAAAGACTTAGGGGGAAGACGATCATCTATGAACCAAGGACAGAGACCTCAGAATGAAGCCCACATTGCTGACACCTTGATCTTGGACTTCTGGCCTCCAGATGGTGATAAATTTCTGTTGTTTAAGCTCCCCCAGCTGTGGTACTTTGTTATGGCTGTCCTAGCAAATTAATACAGCACGTTTCCTGGAATTTCTAACCAGCTCCCTTCTAAGTCTCCCCTCCCCCATGCTTGGAAGCCCCTATCTCCTCTGTCCTAGCCTCCCTCCCCCTCTGCTTCTCTCCGATCCTTGTTCCTAAGCCTGCCCTATGGTGACATTGTGGCATCCTGTGGATTTAGGTTTACCACTGGTAATTTGACTGGAATTAGCATGTGTTACCACCAATGGGCAGCTGCTGGCTGGTTTATGGCCTCTCTTCTCTATGGGGACACAAGGATGAACAGACAGTAGCTTTGTGTGGGGCTGTGTGGTTTCCAAAGCATTTTCAAGGAGTGGCCATGAGGCTGTGGGAAAAGCCCTGGTGTCGTACTTGGCCCAAGGCAAGACGGAAGTATGTCGGCTCTCAGGATGTTCAAGAAAGCATGGGAGTGATAAAACAGGGCTTCCCTTGATAATCACCGCCTCGAGGCGGGGGGGGGGGGGGGGGGGGGGGGCGGGGGGGTTGCCCTACGGCCAACACTGTGATAACTGCTTTGCATACTTTATCTTGGTTATATCACCACAACCCTATCAGGTGGATGCTCTTGCCTTCCCCATTTTTGCAAGTGCAGGAACTGAAACTTAAGTAATTTGCCCAAGGTCCTTGCATTTTTCCTAGGGTTGCCATAACAAAGGACCACAAACTGAGATTATTTTATTATTTCACATTTCTGGAGGGTAGAAGGTGTGGGCAGGGCTATGCACTCTCTCTGAAGGCTTCCCGGGAAAATCTGTCCCATGTCATTGTCTTAGTTTCTGCTGCCTACTGACAATCCTCTTGACACTTCACTCCAACGTGGAGTCTCCCCGAATCCCTGTTTTCTCTTAGGACATGAGTCGTTCTCAGGATCCCCCTAAGGGAGTAGGACTTCATCTTCACTTGATTACACCTGTTTCCAAATGAGGTCACCTTCACAGGTGCTGGGGATTAAGATCTCAACATATCTCTTTGGGGGACACAAATCAATCCATAATGGTCCCACAGCTTGTAAATGGTGGAGCTGACATTTGCACTGGACTCTTATAGCTTTGCTCCAAGGTACATGACTTCACCCAATTATGATTTTCCTCCTTCCCAACCAATTATATTTGTTCTATTTAAACAGAACTCTTTCTTAAGAAAGAATTGACGTTATCAGTTCATCCCAAGCAATAGAGTTTTCTTTAGACCAATACTCCTTAACTGTTATGAAGCAGAATTTTTCTCTGGAGGCTTGTGATCTCACCAGGCTATTTGAGCTCTGTTTTCCCTCCCTTCACAGGATATTACACCACCCCTTGGTCTTGGAGTTAAACTCCAAGTTTAGTTAAGCTACAGCTGTGGATACACTATAGTTTTCATGGCAAGATTTTAGCTCCTTCCCTGCTAGCTTATGACTGCCCCTTGCCAAAGAGATCTGGCAGAAGGAAGGAGAAACAACAGACTTAGTCACCTGTGTTTCCATGAGTGGCTTTAACTGGTGTGAATGGAGTCACATGATACTTACTCTGTGTTCTTATCTTCTGGCACCAAGTTTCCCTTTTCTAGTGGTGGTTGGTTAATAGTGGTTCACTTTTAGGGCACTTTTTGAGCGTCCGACTTTGGCTTAGGTTATGAACTCATGGTTCGTGTGTTCCTGGGGGGCTCGCAGCTGTCAGTGCAGAGCCTGCTTCTGATCCTCTGTCCCTTTCTGTCTGCCCCCCCCCCCCAACTCGTGCACATGCGCTCTCTCTCTCAAAAATAAATAAAACATTAAAAAAAATAATGGTTCACTTTTTAAAAAAATATTTATTTTTGAGAGAGAGAGTGCACATGAGTGCATGTGCAAGCAAGGGAGAGGCAGAGAGACAGAGACACAGAATCCCAAGCAGGCTCTGTGCTGCTGGCAGCACGAGCCCAATGTGGGTCTCGAACTCACAAACTGAGCTGAAATCAAGAATTGGATGCTTACTAGGCTGAGCCACCCAGGCACCCCAACAGTGGTCCACTTTTTAATCATTAATTTTTTTGTTGAATCTTGATGCTATGATACAGGAATGAAAACCAATAGGTAAAAGCTCCTTAGCAGGACCCCTCCTTGAAAGACCAAGCATCTCTATTTTTTATAAGAACAGATTAGAAGACTACCATAAATTTTCGGCCCCCAAAACTAACATCTGTCCATCCATTTGTTTCTCATTTGCTGTTTCAGAAGCCCTCTGCCCCTCCAAATTTCATTTCCAGAGCCAGAATGCCCTTCCTTCTACTTGAGCTCCTTGGCTGGGGCCGAGGCCCCAGCATGGTGGCTGTTGGGTGCAGCCATGCTCTGTCCATGCTTGGGAAGAGCTTCTAACCTGCAGATCTCCTCCAGGACAGTGTGGCCTGGCTCTCAGACCACAGCTGTGTTTTATGTCTTGGCAGATTGGTGGGGGTAGGAACATGGACCATCATGTTTTGCATGTGGCTGTCGATGTCATCAAGGAATCCCGCGAGCTGCGGCTGCAGCCCTTCAATGAATACCGCAAGAGGTTTGGCATGAGACCCTACACATCCTTTCAGGAGCTCACAGGTGAGCAGCTGTTTCCTGGACACGGGCCCTGTCCTCGAGGGACTTTCAGTGAAGTGAAGGGGACATTGCAGAAACAGAATGGGGTGATAACTCCCAGCAATACAACTGTGGAGGTCATAAGGGGTGTGTGAGCACCGTGCTGGAGGGTCAGGGAGGTGAGGGGTGTGAGGGGGAACAAAAGACACTGCTTGGGGAAAGAAAGTGGCTTCTCAGCTGAGTTTGAAGGAGATAAATAGGGACATTCTGGATGGAGACTAGGGGTGGGGGGGGAAGCATTCTAGGTAGAAGAACAGAAAGGACAGAAGCACATAAGCCATTAAGAATGAGCCTACTGAGGGACACAGTGGTGAGTGTAGCTGGAACAAGGTGCTTATGTGTGGGGAAGGCAGGGGTTAGGGGCCAAATTGTGTAGAACCTTGGATTCTATGTAAAAGAATTTGGGTTTTACTCTATCTAGTGGTTCCTAAATACCTACCAGCTGCTTAAGAATCACTTAGGAAACTGATTAAAAATACCAAATCCCAGATATCTCTCCCCAAGATTCTAATTCAGTAGGCCTGCATGGTGCCAAGAATCTGTATGTGTGTGTGTACAATATACATGCTTCTTTTTCTTTTTCTTCCTTCCTTCCTTCTTTCTTTCTTCCTTTCCTTTCCTTTCTCTTTTTTCTTCCTTCCTTTCTCCCTCCCTCCCTCCCTCTCCTCTCTCTCTCTCTCTTTCCTTCGTTCCTTCGTTCCTTCCTTCCTTTCTTCCTTTCTTTCTATTCTAGCTGTTGTGTAGCCAAGAGTTTGAGAACTGTGGTCATAAACAGTGGGAGAGTTTGAGCAGGGTGTGACATGACTGTGTACTAGTGCCTCATAGAGGGAAATGGGTAGGGAAGCCCAATGTCTGTCTCTCTTTCATCACTATCTGTGAATATGTGGTCCTCACAGAGTGGGGAGTGAGCTCCTCATAATTCTGGAACCATAATCTCTGTCACTCTTTAATCTCCTGTGACAGTCCAGAAGTGGAAGAGAACACTGTAACTAAATCTCTATGTGAACTTGGCCAAGTTACATCACATCTCTGAGCTCCAGAAGAATGAAGGGACTTGAACTAGCATACATCCTTGAAACCTGCCTGTGAAGGAGGCAAGTTAGATAGAGTCTCCCTTTTGTCACCATTAGGCAGTTAGGGCACAGAGAAGAGACATGAGTTGTTCAAAGTCACATGCTGTCTGGTGGCCCATCCAGGCCCTTGAATCCTTCTTCAGTAGCAAATTCCTTCCCTAGATGCAGCCATGGAGAAGTGTCAGTCAGTCAGGCCAGAAGTTAGGGCAGGTACTCAATTGTTCAGTTGCTTTTCTGAAGTCCCATATTCTCCTCAGAAAAATGTGGGCCTAGAAGGTTCCCTCCACATATTAACTTTAATCGTGCCATGACTCTGACTCTAGCTTCCCCCCATGCAGGAGAGAAGGAGATGGCAGCTGAGTTGGAGGAGCTATATGGAGACATTGATGCCTTGGAATTCTTCCCGGGGCTGCTTCTGGAAAAGTGCCATCCAAACTCCATCTTTGGGGAGAGTATGATAGAAATTGGGGCTCCCTTTTCCCTCAAGGGCCTTCTAGGGAATCCCATCTGTTCTCCAGAGTATTGGAAGCCAAGCACATTCGGTGGTGAGATGGGCTTCAACATGGTCAAGACAGCCACGCTGAAGAAGCTCGTCTGCCTCAACACGAAGACTTGTCCCTACGTTTCCTTCCATGTGCCTGACCCCCACCAGGATGACGGGCCTGGTGTGGAGCGGCCATCCACAGAGCTCTGAGCGGGGAGGGCAGCAGCACTCTGGGGGTGGTGAACTTTGTGCTTGTCATCCCAGAATGCTGAGGCCGGGGTTGAAAATCTTAAACGTTGGGTATCTGGTTTGGCATTGAGAGTATCAAGGTCGACATTTAGTACTTTGTGTCTCTCACCCATTATCTGGAATATTGTGGTTTGTTATTCTAAATGCTGAATTCCTGATTGACCATCCAGAATGTTAGAAGCGATTCTTCTTTGACATGCCAGAACACTGAGTTCCTGGTTGATGACCTAGAATGTCAGATTTCTGGTTGACTTGGAACATAGTCATTCTGAAATGTGGAGCTCCTGATGAAATCATCTAGAAAGTTAAGGGATTCTCATTTTGCATTCTAGAATTCTGAGTGGCCCTCCAGAATGTTGGCTTTCTGAATGGCAATTCAGAATGTCATGTTCCTGGTTGCTGATCTTCTAGATCAATGTGCCAGATCTAATATGCCAGATCAATCTTGATCTGAATGTCTAGAATGATTTGATTCATTTTCCTGCTCAGTGAGATATCCACAGAGCCGGAGAATCTATGGTTTAAGGTCTAACAAGAGTGCATTGCCCGACTGTGTATACCAAGGGGCAAGGAGTTAGGGTGTTCTTCTGGGGATTCCAACTTAGACCCTGGTCCAAGGAGATAGAGAGAACAGGTGGCTTTTTTCCAGGCCACTGGTTGGAAGCCACCAGAGTTCTGTCACCATCCATGTCTTGACTCATGGCAGCTGTTTCTCATGAAGCTAATAAAATTCTTTTTCCAAATTTCCTGCTATGTATCACTTTCATCCCATTTCCAGAAGTAGTGGTGACACTGGAGTGGCCTTTCTCCTAGCTGCAAGCTCGATGTGCAGGTCTTGATCAGACCTTCCATTAGGGCCCCTAGAACCTGTCATCACCTAGCTTTTCCACCACGGATCTCCATTTCCCACTGTGGGTCAGGCATTGTCCCTTCCAGGCCGCTCTCCTAAAATCCACAACTCCCCAGCCCCAGGTGACACAGCATTCAGTTCCTACCATCTGATTAAAATAATTTCCTCCCTTACAAAGCATACAAAGGCAGAGAAGAGGGCATCTGGGGAGGACAGCACTTACTGTGTGCCATTTTCCCACACTGAATTCTCATTTGTTCTCACCCAAAAGTATGAAGTACGTGGTATAATCCTCATTTCAAAAATGAGGAAACTGAGACTCAGGATGGTCAAGTGACATGCCCCACAGATGCCAGTGCCAGGCCAAGACCCAGGCCTGGGTGGATCTGGAGCTGGGCTCTTCTCCCAATCCAGATACCTCTTGCTTCCTGATTTGACTCAGTTCCGGGCCTGATCTTGCCTCTCTGGCTCAGGGTCAGAGGCAGAAGGTGGGGTGTAGCTATTGCATGCTATGCTTTCAGTCACAAATATTTATTTTGCTAAGTGCTTACTAGACATCAGTCACTGTTACAGGCTTGGGGCTATTAGCAATGAGTGACTGAGACGGACAAGGCTTTTGTTTGTGTGGAGCTCACATTCCACTGGGGCTAGAGCAGATGATAAATAAGAAAATAATAAAATAAGACAAAGGCAAGGTGAGTATGTTCTCCCTTCTAACCCATACTACTCTGCTTGGCTCCTGAGACTTGAGACCCTTTCCCAGCCACGTAGACCACTCATCTCCAGCCAGGAGAGGACAGGTCAGAGGGGAAAGGTAAGAGGTTAGGAAAGTTCCCACATTCTCCCCACTGTGGGCTTAGATTTCCTTAGGAAAAATAATTTCCCAGAAATAATGGGGGAAATTGGGGTCCCTGGGGCTGGGCTTCCTGTTTTATAGTCCAGAAAGCCCTTGTTTCTCCTTAGTTGGCTGGAGACAGCTTCCACCATTCCTTCCTGGTCCTGTTGAATGCAAAGAATGCAAACCTCAGCTCTCAAGCTGCTCTGATGATCAGAGATTCTTCGGCTGCTGGAAGTGGGCGTTAAATGACTGTCCTGTCCTTGCTTACCTGGTATCTATTTCCTCTCTTTGCTAATACTCCTGCTTTGCCTAATGAGCCTCCGCCTCTTCTTAATTCCACTCTTGGTAGTTCTATCATGGCCAAGGGGTCGGTCTGTGAATCAGTACTGGCAATCAGGCACCCTCTCCTTATAAACTGGCCCCTGAGAGGAGTTACATAGAGATTAAAACAACCCACTGATTCATTCCCCACAGCTGAGCTTGGAAAGATTGTCCCTTAGTTCTTGCTTCCAAGGTCACTAGGGAAACCTGGGTTCCTGCCCTTCTCAAGACCTTGGCTTTTCCTTCCATCCTGGGGGCTGCTCCATGAATTCCTTTTTCACTTAAGTTGGTCAGAATTAGTGTCTATTGCTTGCAGCCAAATCTTAATGGCTGTTGGCCTGAAATAGCAGAAGCACTATGATGTTCTGAAAGGAATTTTAATCAAGGGAGACACAATTAGCCTAGTGTTTTAGGAAGAGCACTGTGGTGCCAGGTGGGCAACAGAGTAGAGCAGGAAGGACCGAGGGCTGGAATGGTGAAGAGGCTGTGACCATCGTCCAGCTGAAAGATGACAGGAGTTGGAGCCAGATGGAGGGATGTGGGGATGGGAGGGTATGATGGCTTCTGGGGATAGACTTCTCTTGAATGCAGGTGCCTAGCTTAGGTGGACTTTGTTCTGTACACCAACTGTGTGTGAAATTTTTGCATGTAGGAACATATGTCAAATGCACCAAGAAAGCTTCTTCAGGGTGAAGCTTCTTAATGCTCATAAAATGAATGCTCATTCCTGGAATCTTGATCTGGTGGGCATAATGATTAGCTTTATTTGTCAACTTGGCTGGGGTACAGTACTTAGTTATTTAATCAGATACTAATCAAGGTGTGGCTGTGAAAGTATTTTGCAGCCAAGGTTAACCTCTACAATCAGTTGACTTTAAGTAAAGATTGCTCTGATAACATGGCGGGCTTATCTACTTAGCTGAAAGGTATTAAGAGTAAAAAGTGAGGTTCTCCAAGAGAAATTTCTGCTTCAAGAATAGAGTATCAATTCCTGCTTGAGTTTGCAGCCAGCCATATGGATTTCAGACTTTATGAAGTGTGAACCAATTCCTAAAGACAAAGCCATCTATTATCTATCATCTATCTATCTATCTATCTATCTATCTATCTATCTATCTATCATCAATTTATCACCTCCTATTGGTTCTGTTTCTCTAGAGAACTCAGTGGGTAATTCACTCAGGGCTCTCAGTGCAAACAAAAGAAATTCCTCCCGCCTGGTTTTAGCAGGAAGGAATTTATTATGGTCACTGCACAGCTCATGGAGTCCTTGGCAGGTCCAGAGAATTAGGCTCAGAGGCTTTATGCCCAGGAACAGCAGCTCCTGGTCCAGTGAAGATGTCTCTGCTCTTGCCACTGGACATAGGCATCTCAGATTGCACCTCTGTTGCCAAAACTCTACTGTTGCTGCCCCTGAAGCTTGGCGGCTGCTACAGCCACCTCTGCCGGAAAATGGATTCATTCTGCATGGTGCCTGCTTCCTCACTTTCCTCTGCTTAGAATTAAAGTCATTTGTGTTTCATGTCTGATTAGTGGGGCCTAGCCCCCATGCCTGCACTCCGGCTCCAAGAGAGGATGGTAAAGTGAGTTTTCTGGCTTGCACTTCGGGGAGGAAGGACCCATAATATGGGAAATTCATACATAGGAAGGATGTTCAAAGGGGCTGGGGGACATGGAGGTTCTACCTCAATGGATCTGAGTATTCTTGGGTCTGTTTTGCCTCTGTGGATCCTAGCCTTAGAACACTGCACAGAACAACACAATGGCACCACTGTTGAACTGGCAGCAGTTCAATGTAATTGCAAGCAAAGAACGTAAGAAGTGAAATTCCAGAAGTACCGAACAGTAGAGGTGCAAAGACACCCAGTGCACCTAGGTGCAAAGAATACACACAGTCCACTTTTTCTAATGACATTTGAGTAAAAGGTGTCAAAAATGTGAGACATGCCCACAACCCACTTTTATGCTTAATCATGCTTTTCCTATAAAAATGGACTTTAAACAAAATAGCTTTGTGTGAATGACAGTAAAGAATATTAAACCTTTAATGATGCTTTTATAGAGCACTCTTATGGGAACTACAATAAAAACTTTCCTCAAATCTTTATTTTGTTCTTTTTTTTCCTTAAATAGTTTATTGTCAAGTTGTTTTACATATAACACCCAGTGCTCCTCCTAACAAGTGCCCTCCTCCATGCCCATCACCCCCTTCCCCTCTCCCCCACCCCCCTTAGCTCTCAGTTTGTTCTCAGCATTCAAGAGTCTCTCATGGTTTGCCTCCCTCCCTCTCCCCAACTATTTTTCCCCTTCATCTCCTGCATTATCCTCTATTAACTTCCTCCTAATCCACCTATAAAACTAATAGGCAACTGACGGAATGGGAAAAGATAGTTGCAAATGACTATCAGATAAAGGGCTAGTATCCAATATCTATAAGGAACTCATCAAACTCCACACCCAAAAAACAAATACTCCAGTGAAGAAATGGGCAGAAGACATGAACAGACACTTCTCCAAAGAGGACATCCAGATGGCCAACAGACACATGAAATGATGCTCAGCGTCCCTCCTCATCAGGGAAATACAAATCAAAACCACACTGAGATACCACCTCACGCCAGTCAGAGTGGCTAAAATGAGCAAATCAGAGAACTCTAGATGCTGGCGAGGATGTGGAGACACGGGCACCCTCCTACACTGTTGGTGGGAATGTAAACTGGTACAGCCCCTCTGGAAAACAGTGTGCAGGTTCCTCAGAAAATTAACAATAGAACTCCCCTAGGACCCAGCAATAGCACTGCTAGGACTTTACCCAAGGGATACAGGAGTGCTGATGCATAGGAGCACATGTACCCCAATGTTCATAGCAGCACTCTCAACAATAGCCTAATCATGGAAAGAACCTAAGTGTCCATCAACTGATGAATGGAACAAGAAGATGTGGTATATTTATACAATGGAATACTACATGGCAATGAGAAAGAATGAAATCTGGCCATGTGTAGCAACATGAATGGAACTTGAGGGTGTTATGCTGAGTGAAATAAGTCAGGCAGAGAAGGACAAATACCATATGTTCCTCAAATCTTTAAAAAAAATTTTTTTTAATTTTTTTATGTTTTATTTATTTCTAGGAGAGAGAGAGAGACAGTGTGAGCAGGGGAGGGTCAGAGAGAGAGGGAGTCACAGACTGAAACAGGCTCCAGGTTCTGAGCTGGCAGTCAGCACAGAGCCCGACGCGGGGCTCGAACCCCAACCGCGAGATCTTGACCTGAGCGAAAGTCGGACGCTTAACCGACTAAGCCACCCAGGCGCCCCGTAAAAAGAATTTTTTTTAATGTTTATTCATTTTTGAGAGACAGAGACAGCATGCAAGCATGCAAGTGGGGGAGAGGCAAAGAGAGAGAGGGAAACACAGAATCTGAAGTAAGCTCCAGGCTCTGTCAATACAGAGCCCAACGCGGGACTCAAACTCACGAACTCTGAGATTATGACTTGAGCCAAAGTCAGACACTTAACTGACTAAGCCACAATGGCACCCCTCTCACAATCTTGATCTTAGCTGTTATTTTTGTTTCACTCATTTAAAATTGGTTTCCTCCCAAACTAGGTAAAAAAAATTTTTTTTTCTCTCAATCTTTATACTTTTGGTCAAAAGGACTTTTGAGCCACTGGTAGAAATCTAGGCTTGGGGGCGCCTGGGTGGCTTAGTCGGTTAAGCGTCCGACTTTCGCTTA